TCTAGGCTTATAGATATAGCTAATATAGCTAATTCTTTACGCGCTAAGCGTAATCTAGACTAGATTAGCTAAAACTAGCTTAGTACGTTCGTTAAGCGCTGCTCTAAGCTTAAAGTAAAGTTTAATTATAAGTATAACTATAAGAGAGCTCTTTATAAAGATTCTAAGGCTATTTAAGACTAGTTTAGCCTAGTAGCTAATATAAAAGCTAAGTATAGAATCTAAAATAATAATATATATAACTTTAATAAAATAGACTTTATAATAAGCTAGATTACTTCTAGAGCTATTATTATAGCTTTAAAGAGATATAGATAGCCTAAGACTATCTAGCTAAGTAATAGAGAGTAGGCTATAGTTATCTAGGGTATTAACGCAACTAGATAGACGATTATACTCTTTATTATTTTTAAGGCGCGCTACTATCTCTCTAACTAGTATAAGGATAGTAATATACTCTAGAACTAGATTATTAGAGTTTCTAAAAATAGCTAAATAACTAATAAGCTTAGTCTTATATAGATAAAGTACTTTAATAAGTATATAAAGGTAAAGAAGATAAGTATCTACTATTTACTTATTATTAATAGCTATAAAAGCTATAACTTGCTAGATTTCTAAAAATACTATAAAGATAATACTATTATTACTATTTATATACTTTTATACTTATCTTACCTTTTATAGCCTTTTAATATAGGCTATTTTACCTCTTTAAAGTAGGTCTATAGATACTAAGTTAAATTACTTATATATACCTAGATTAGTTATATTATAAAATATAAGTTTCCTTTTTACTTTAAGTAGGCTTTTAATATATTATTTATAGCTAGTAACGTCTAAGAAGACTTTTAAAGTACTAGATTAGTTTTATTTAACCTAGAATAGGTTATATCTTCTCTTAATATTTAGTTATATACTCTATTACTCTTATCTACTTATAACTAGCTCTAGATATTATAAATCTCTAGTAATACTCTAGAATTAGAGTTATAATTAATACTAGTAAAGTAGAGAATTTAAAAGTATATAGATAGTTTACTAGTATCTATAGTAGAGGCCTTTAAAAAGATCTTAAAGAGAGTAGCTATTATTACGTATAAGCTAGTATTAGTATAAAAGTAGATTACTAAGCTTAAAGTAGCTAATATAGCTACTACGCGACGAAAATTATATAAAAGAAAATAAGTTTAAGTAGAAAGAATCTTAATAGTTAAAGATAAGAAGCGCTTAGCTACTCTCTAGAACTTTAGTATATATAATAATAGAAAGAAGTTAAAGAAGTAGAAATATACTAAAGTAAGTAAACTATCTTAAAGGCTATATAGATAGTATAATAGAACTAGATATAATATATAAATATATAAGTAGGTAGTAAAAGTAGACTTAGATTAATATCTTATATTTCTTTACGCTATATAGGTCTAAAGTAGGCTATTTTAGGCTATAATATAGTAATTTTAGTAGAGTCTTAGTAAAAGTATTATACAAACCTATATATTATATAAACTTATAAAGTACGTTAAAGATAATTCTTTTATATATATTTCTCTACTTATTATATCTTATATAGCTTCTAAATATTAAATACTTCTTACTATTAATATATATATATAGTAATACTATATTAGTCTTAGTGTATAATTATTTCTACTATATTTAAAAAAAAAACTTTTATTAGTAACTTAATAAGCGTATTATAAGACTATTATACTAGAGAATAATAATTTAAAGCTTTAATATATTAGATCTACTTTATATAATTATTATAATATTTTATTATAACTTAATATTATATTATATATATTAACTTTAAAAGTATAAGAAATTATTAGATAGAAGCTAAAAATACTACGTAATATATATAATTTAGAGATATAAACTATACTTATCTAAAACTATATATAAATTTAGTTAAAGTCTTCTACTATCTTTTTTTAAAAGAAAATATAGTAGGTAAGTAAAAGCGTTTAATAGATTACTTATTAGGTAGTGTTAATATAGAAGAAAATAAACTATTTATAAAAAACTATTAAAGTATTAATAAAGTAAGAAACTTATAGGTAATACTATATATAGATAGAGAAATCTTAGATAGTTAGCTAGATAGTAAATTAGATTACGAAGATAGAGAGTAGTAGCTCTTATAAGAGTATAAAATCTATAAAAAGAGTATATAGTAAATAATACTATAGATATTATAGCTAAATTAGATATAACTTCTATAGATAATAAGTAGAATTAGAGAATATAAAAGATAGTAACGCGTTAAGAGAATAATATAATATTCTACTTACTACTAAAAATTATAGTAGTATAAAGTAGTGTTATTATAAAGATAAAGCGTAGTAGAAAAGCTACCTATTTAGTAGGGCTGCCCGCTTAGTAGTACAACACGTTATACTTAATAATTATCTTCTTTTTAAGCTTATTTAGATTTACTATTTTATACTAGTAATTCTTTTTTAAAGTCTATCTATTATATTATTAACTTATTATTAATAGAGTTATATTAAAGATAGCTATAGCGCGCTATAGAGAGAGATTTACGTCTTATTTAAGAGCTTAAAAAGTAAGCTGTGATTAATATATACTAAAGAGCTCTATTTACTATTATTATAACGATATTAGAGTAGAGTAGTAGTTTAAGTATAGTCTTAGTAAAAGTATTATATAAACCTGTGTGTTAAATAAATTTATAAGGTACGTTACTCTATTTTAAAATATCTTTTAAGAGGTTTAAAATATCTTCGTAGTATTGATAAACTATTTCTAATAGTTTAAAGTAGTGTCTTATTGACCTAATTTTCTTAGACTCTTATGTAATATTTTATTTTAACAATCGTTATTTTTTTAATATCTTATTTTAGTACGTTAGAGTATAACCTGCTATTCTTTTTGAGAATAATTAATCTAATACGCTATATAGTAAATAGAGAAAAAAGTTAAGCTATTATCAATATTATAATATAGCTCTTAAGTAGCTTACCGTTATATTATTACGTCTATAGAACTTCTAATAAGACTATACAATATAAGTAACTAGTTATTAGTTAAAATATGTTTTCTAGCAAACGCTTTCAATTACTATTAAGTTCTTAGCTTAAGACACTCTATTCAAGTATGCATCTCATAAGGCAGCTTATTCTTCCGCAGTAGGTGAATTAGCATGTTGTGAAAAGTAAACTATTACTCCAGCCTGTAGTTGCAGGAGGCCACAACGCCAACAAAGGTTCAACTCTTGCGAATAGCGAAGTGCAGGAGAATCAAATCGACTCGCTCGCGGTGACAGTCACTTGGTGTTGGATAGACGTTGAGACTCCGCGCACCAGCTGCAGGTACTATCTTGGTTTCCCGGTGAATGTCATGTACTACGGCGCCACTACCAAGAAAACAAGGACGCACCGCCAATCAAACACTCGATTGACCTGCGCGACGGCCGCAATGCAGCGTTTATCCTTTCCCCATATGATCAGGATTACATTCAGTTCATGTTCGTCTCATATATACTCTAACGACGTAGCCTCTTCATCGCCTGGAACATTTACGGAGCAGATCGCCAATTCGCCAGCGCCAACGACAAGCCCACTTTTATAGCGACGGAAGCAATGTCGCGCCGGATCTCTCTCTCAATAGTATTCACCCTTTAAAAGATTACTGTCCATCCTTCCACGGATCCCATCTACACTAATGCTGCAGTGGCTTAGCTGCCGCCGTGTTAAGAGACCTAGCAGTGAGAGCTAGGAAATAAGAATAGCAGACCGCAGACTGATGCCGGCTCCTTCGTTTTTATATCCGATTCGAAATGGGCTTCGATTTGATGTTTTGCCAGCCTAATACGCTGGGAGAAGTCAGAGGCTCCAGTACCCCCTGTGCAGGGTATTCAGCATGGTTTCGACGCGTATAAGGCACCCAGTCTGAGATGATCCTTCGTGGCTATGCCTAGCCAGCCAGCCAGTCAGTGCGCTGCTGTGTGACTTGGGGGCTAAATTGTAGGAGTATGGCAAGCAAGCGCTAGGAGGTTTGGGTCTCGTGTTTCATGTGTCTATTGGCTCACAAAAATGCTTGAGTACTAGAGCTACGCATTCTAAGTGGAGCGGAGATTTGGGGGCCAAAGCCACGTCTAACATTGTCCAGGCATATATAACAAAACTGCAACCTCACTTGACTTCGTAGATGGAGTTTTCCACGAAGCTATGACAAACAGCGCTCTCCATCTACTGGGAGGACCTAACTCGCAGCCTTACGGTCCAGTACCCGTGACGGAGGATCTCTCAACCCCCGAAACAGAGAAAGCTCCTGCCTATACAACCACAACACCTATTGTTCTTGGCCTGAAAAAGAGTTCCTCGCAATCATGGTCGGCTGCGCAGATTGCCCTGACGCTGGCGATTCCACTTGTCGCACTCATCACATGGCTGGCATGCGTCCGAGCCAATCCGCGTATCTTCGACACGTTCGCGGGTGAGGAGATTGGAGGCCGACTCAGCCAAGCACAGGCAAAAGCGATTGATGTAATCACAGGTGCGATACTAGCGCCCATGTTCATGGCAGCTGTAAACTATGTGTGGTTTGCAAGCGCTCGCGTTTCCGTTGTGAACGAACAACAATCGAAACCAGTTCCACTTCGCACGCTGGTAGCTGCCAGCGGTACGTCGGGCGGGAATTACGACCTTTTCCATCTTCGCAACCTGCTTCTCGGCAAGACCTGGTCACTCGTAACCTTTGCTCTCCTGACCATTCTGTCCGCCGTGTCCAGAACAGCGTTGAGTAATGTTATTGCGTACGAGGCATTTTCTGAACTCAGTTCTTCAAAGACTTTGGCTGCTTTACGACTGCAGACCGACGCTGTCGTCAACGCCGACCTCGGAATGGACAATAATCTCAAATTGCGTTTGTACGACTTCAACATGTCTCAGAACGCCCAAGTTGCAAAGGACATGATGAGCCTTCTGACCGACCTATCCTACCAAGATGCCGGCTCGAAGCTAACCAATGGTACCTACGTGGGCGTCAACGCAACAACTCAATCGCTAAGATCTCTGCCGCCGTCCATTTCCAAGCTAGAGAACATACCAGCCTACCGAATCTCGGTTGACTGCACCCCCGACTTGCCATTGTCAGTATCCGTCATGCAGCCCCTAGGCCCGCTCAACACACAGATCGGGCTCATGCTCAATACGACCACCAAGTCAAACAACACTATATTCCAAGCCAACTACCCAGGCGTACCAGACAACATCCGGACCGGCGACGGCGACAGCTACACATACGCTGCATTTTCTCTGGGCTACCGTGAGGCGTACCTTGGTCACTTGGAACGGTTCGACTTGTCCAACAGTACGACTCAGTCTCAATACGGCGACTTGGGCTACCGCGCCTTCAACATGAGCCAATGGGGATTCAACGGAACGCAAGATATCATGTCCATCAGCGGGTTGCGATGCGTCCTGTACCGCGAACAAGGACTCGCCAACTCGACTCGGGTCCCAAGCAACGATTCAAGCATCAGCGGCTGGACAATTGACACCACCTCCTTTCCCGCCTCACAGGAAAAGGCCATCGTTCCTTCTCTCCTCGCCAAGTTCCAATGGAGCAACTTCAACTTTCATGCCCCCGGATCCGTGATTCCTGGTCTTGGGCCGGCGCTCAACAAAATGTATGCTGAAGAAGTGGACGAGTGGGGGACCAAAGCCAACGACACTTTTACCAACTTTGCCCTTAACTTTCTCTACGCTTCGGGCGAAACGCAGCGTATTATATACGAGGTAGCAGCGTCCAGTAACAATGCTTCACGCAATCGTCCCGAATACACAATCAATGTCCCCGCATTAGAAATGCAGCAACAGTACCGTATCACGTACGTGCCAAGTATACTTCTCGTGGGTCTAGTGTGTTTGGTCGGAGCGGCTGCTATTACGGGGATTATGGCACTTTATACGCGGAAGACTCTCTCGGCAAGAGCTCATCGCCAGGTCGACGTTACCAGGCTTCTGCTGGATAGTGTGGTGGGACTGGGCGGTGAGGCGAAGGACTTAGCAAGAATAGCGCAGAGAGGGAACGATGAATTGGATGCTTGGGCGGCTGGTTACAAGATCAGATACACGAGCATGGGTGATGACGATGGGTCTGTACAGGTTGTGCTAGAGAAGACGCATTCTTAGTAAAGACTCAAATGGAGGGAGTAAGATGGAAATGAGAGAAGCAGTCAAGTTATTCAGAACGGAAGATGGGTTTCATATATCTACTATGTTTTTTCAATTCTTTGATCCATGGTCTTCGTAGCTGTTGGCGTTGGCACGTCTCGGAAAGCGCAAAGTTGGCGAGGAACATTCAACCCCCAAATTCAAGAGCAGTCCCAAAAACAAGCACAGAAACGGTTGATCTAGAAGGAGTATGTACGATCCGTACATCATTCGTCCAGTCGAAACCACGATACGTCTGTTTGACCACCGATCAGTACCACTTACATGCGTTCACTCCATCTCATCGCTCCCAGCAGCGTTGCAACCCTTCCTTTTCGCCCACACCATCATCACCACCACCACGTTATTTATCCTCAGCGCCTCAAGCTGCGTATAATGTACCCTACCTCTCTCCCTCAAATGCCGTTGTGTACCCCCAAACCTTTCATCCACCATATCCAAACTCCTCGGCATACTTTCTCTCTTTGCACCTACCATTCGCAGCGCCGCCTGCCTCCCTTTCTCCATCATCTTGGGCGACACACTATCGAACTGCACTTGGCCCTCTTCTCCTCTTTGTACAATCCTTGCCACGTCTTCGCGCGACAGCGTCTTCCTCACCATTTCCGACCCTGCGTACTTTCCAAACGTCAAAATCTGCAACAGGCGTGCCACAATGGTATCGCTGATGTGCTCGGGTACCGGCTCACAGGGCTGCTATTCGGTTGCAATGTCGTCGCACGGAAAGTCGAGTAAGTCGAATAGCAGGCCGAAGAAGATGCCGGCATTGTCTTTGTTCACAGTAGACAGATATGTAGACAAGATGTATTGCATCTAATTATAGAGAAATTAAGTCTGAATATTACGTAGGTGGTTCGTATTCTCTAGTTGACTACTATACTAGTCTGTACCTAGAGTACGTACATGCCCGTGAGCCTCGGCAACTCTACTATTGCAACATTACACCCCTGCATGTCGCGACCCCAATCGTTCAGCTATGTTCTTGTTCATGGAGATCTAAATATCTCGAAATGGAATGCATGCCGCATGCTCGTGATGCGGCTGTACGCTTCCGCAAATTGCTGATATATAACTGGGTAAGCGATCATGCTGGGTGGACAGGACCGAATACTCGGCCGTTCAGGATATATCGTGTGATGAGACTAAGAACAGATGGGAACCGTTCCAACCGCGTAGTCTATGGCGCTTGCACTCCATATGGCAGGAACCTCCGTCTTGAGAATGCTTCCAGGTATTCTAGCTACCGGCTCTGCGGGGTAAGATCAACTACTTGCCGAGTGTAGATCTGCATCAAATCTCCGTTGAAAATACGATCTTTAGCTCATTTCATTTCCACTATAAAAGTCTGATTTCCAGTAGCTAAAAGAGTCCTGCGGAGACAATCGGCAGTACAATCATCGCCAACGCTGAAAATTGTCTCTCTACAGAGCCACCACCCAGCATGTATCTGCTCAGTCTCTGTCTCACTGCTCTCTTAGCAATGGGAGCGTCTGCAGCTCCTCGCCTGGAAAAACGTCAAATATCGTGTCTCAGGGTGGGCGCCACGGCAACAGCAACATGGACTAACGCGGCCGGTCAGACCTGTCGCTGGACTGGCATCGTAGGCAGCAACTTCGGCACAAACAACGCAAACGGCGGAGAGTAGGCAGTCCAGTCCTCGGACATATTCATCCATACAGTAACTGACATGATCCATAGTTATAGTTGTAACGGCCGGTGCGGAGCAGGCTGCTCAGGCGCTGCACTTGGCAACGTATATACACAGGATTGCTTTTCGCATGATGTGTGTTCTTGGTTCAACAATGCGAGTGGTGGTGCGAGGTAAGTTGTTACAAGGAGAAGAATGATTGGAAAAGGTCCGTTACTAACATGGTACCCCAGTGATCCGAACTGCGGTGCAGCGTTCAATGCAGCAGTTGATGATACGGTTAGTGGTGCGTTGAGGGGCTGTGGACAAACGAACCCGACGAATGCTGCTGTGAGACCTAGTACTAGTCCGACATGCTTATAGCGAGTTAGTAATGGGATATGTTCGGAGAGATCCAACAACAAACTTGATTTTTGGAAATACCCCAGGAATTGACGGCTGAATATGTGTCGCTATCATCCATCGTTCAGACAAACACTCAACTCTCTAAATGCGAAGACCAACATGCATATGAGCTTCGACATTCACAACTCTTGGTAGAAGCACAGTCGGTGCATCACGGTCTCACAACAGAGAAATCGTGGATGTGGAAGCTACTCGCTGAACTTTAACTCTGGGTGATGATACTACTTACCACTAGTAGTACTTAGTAGTACTTAGTAGTAAGTAACACAATATGCAACTTCAAACGACAATTTATCAATATCAAACATCGGGTAACTGTATTGTCATGAGAGACATGATAGAATCAGCCATGGAAACTGATTTAAACCAATCGCTCTCTGAAGCGTCAGCAGAAAAGACCCGAGCGACTTCTTACACAGCCCCCGCTCCTGCCTCGGGCATCTGCGCTCCTTCTTGTCCAGCCTGCGCCTTCTCCCTGCCATTTGTTTCTTGTGTCGCTTCACCACTCGCCAGTGCCTTGAAAGCACCCAACAAGTCGTTTTTCAGATCTTCCCAGCTTTCCACGCCCACACTGACACGCAACAATCTCTCGTCCACCTCAGTATCGCTCATCCTCCTCCACTCGATCAAGCTCTCCACACCACCCAAGCTAGTAGCGTGATGGAAGAGCCGGAGGTGTGATGGGAGGGTACGGGCCTGTTTCGCCTCCTTCATGTAGATGCTGAAGACGGGACCGAAGCCATTGGGCATCTGCTGCTTGAGCCAGGACATGTCGGAGGTCTGGAGCGATGCGTGCTTGACTTTACTGACAACTTTCTTGACAGCTTCCGCATCTTCTCCCTTGCCATTGAGCGAATCATTCAGCCAGCGAACGAGGTTGTCGGCATTGGAAGACTGCCGCTGCACACGCAAGTCCAAGGTCCGCAGACTACGCACGCCGAGCCAACTTTCCAGATTACCAAGTACAGCTCCGAGGAAGATGCGCTCCGCGCGTAATGTCTTTGCCCGCTTCAGGCCTTCAGGTCCGGCAGATGTAGCAAGAACACCGCAAAGCATATCGCTGTGGCCGCCGATATATTTTGTTCCACTGTGCATGACAATATCGGCACCCCATTTGAATGCATCTTGGAGGCCTGGGGGTGCAAAAGTCGCGTCGACACTTAGCAATGCTCCTCTTGCGTGTGCTCGCTTTGCATACTTTGCAATTTCAAAGGCCTCGCCTGTGGGGTTTAGAGGAGTCTCCAGATGAACAAGATCGCCATTGCCCAAGCCAACAGCATCCCAGGCTGATTCGTCGGCGTGGAGATCGACTGTCTTGACGCCGTGCATCTTCTTGTGCAGGTCAATCACTCCGTGGCAGCCATGGTACCCCCCACTGATAGCCACAACCTTGGGAACAACACTGACCAGCAATGAATGAAAGGCACTCAGTCCGCTCGTATAACTGACGACGTGGTTCGCAAGGCCGCTGCTTCCATCCAATTCGCTGTCAGTAGCATCGGGGTACATCAAAGGCGCTAATATGGTCTCTAGACGGTTGGTAGTGGCCGATGCGAGACGCGAGTACACGAGCGGTGTTTGCAGATCCACGAATTCGCCCTCATCGGGAGCAGGCTGTAGCTTGTCTGGGTTGCGAGGATAGCGAAACGTAGTGGACGTATGGATTGGCGGGGCAACATCGGTGAGAGCGTTGATGCGATCGTCGGCATGGATGCCATAAGTCGAGGCGTGATATGAAGGCATTGCCGTGCTATTGAATAAGTATTTCACCAACAATGAAACCGAGTGGAACCGAGATTTCGGTCAGGAGGCCTTCAGCCCGTCGTTGAATCCGGTGTCGAGCGTAACGACCGCGGGGTCGAGATTCCTTTATGTCAAGGCCAACGATGTCAAGGTGACTATTTTTATAAAATGTCGATATCGCGCCCTATGCGGCAGAATTGCGGACCACGCATACTAGATTAGCCATATCCGCCACTACAGTGGAGCTACATCCAACAATTCCATACTAACCAGATGCAGGGCCGCCATGCTGTTGGGTAACTTGTAACACGTGGGGAGCTTGAAGCAGCAGCGGCTATGCGAATCCTGTGTGGTAGCATTGGAGTGGGTACCTTGTTCGCTCAATGTCTCCCTTCACACTCTACGTGCGCTCGGGACTCTCATACACATCTGTCAAGAGCAGCTGCGTCTCGTACATTTTACGTCGCGAACACCACGCCGAGATGATGACGAGTGCGGGGTAGTAAAACTGCCCCGCACTCGCGACAAAATTTATCCCGAAGAACGGATGCGCTGAGACTTGGGGGGACCATATACTACTAGGTAGGGCCAAAGAGGTCAAATAGCAACTTCTGGATCATATGTCATTCCATTCATAGCTATCGGGTTGATCGTACACTTTCATCGACGATGCCTATTTCAGAAGCAAAGGTCTATTTCGAGCAATCTCAAGTCCTCACCAGCCCATTACAACCTACTCCACACGCCTACTGGATGCCAGCAGCAACAATGGTAGGTGGCTTGCTCTTGTCCTTGATAGCACCGCTGTCAGATCCGCATGCCTCGATAGCTCGGACAACCTTGTACGACTCGACATCGCCATCAGGGACGCCGCCGAATACGACGTGCTTGCCGTCGAGCCATGAGGTGATGACGGTGGTGATGAAGAACTGGGAACCGTTGCTGTAATCTGTCAGCTCCATCCTGGTATACAAATGTGCCGGTGACATACGTGTTGGGACCGGCGTTGGCCATGGAGAGGAGGAAGGGTCGGTCGTGCTGAAGCTTGAAGTTCTCGTCGGCGAACTTGTCGCCGTAGATGGACTTGCCTCCGGTGCCCTGCATTGTAACATGTCAATCAGCTGCTTCCGAGTACACCCAGTCAGACACGTACGTTGCCGCGGGTGAAGTCGCCACCTTGGAGCATGAAGTTGGGGATCACGCGATGGAATTTGGAGCCCTTGTAGCCGAAGCCCTTCTCGCCAGTGCAGAGGGCGCGGAAGTTTTCGGCAGTCTTGGGAACTACATCGTCGAAAAGGTCAAAGTTGATGCGACCAGACTGTTCTAGAGTGCGATGGTCAGTGAGTGATAAGACACTTGGGCGGTTTGCGCAAAGAGTTGTGCCGCCGACTGGGGTGCAGGAGTAGCTACCTTCGACCTGGCCGACCTTTGTGACCTTTCCAGTGTTGTCAACCTCGACGACGGGGCCCTTCCAGGTGCAATCGAAGTAAGCTTTGATGGCCATGTTGTATGCCGAAGGAGTGAAGAAGCGTTTATGGACAGAGGCGCGGAATTGAGGAGCTGCACGGAAAGCAGATAGAGCAGAGGCTCGAGGTAGGTGGGGCATGATGCAGACGCGGGGTGTAGCGTCTAACCTGAATGGTAGTCAGTGCCATGTGCCTTGGCGGTGAATCGTGGTGAGATAACAGCAGCGTGTTTGCCTGTGACGCAACATGTGCGTGGCACCTTGAGGCTGAAGTGCAGTGAGGGTGAATAGATAGGGTGCTGTCTTACCGTAGCTATTCTTCTCCAAACGGACGACCAGCGGCTCTTGCGACTGCGCACTCAACGGCTGCGCGCGGGGGCGGTAAATATGCAGTGACAGTGCTCAATGGCACGGCTATGCAATCAGACGTGTGAAAAAGAGACAAATATAGTACAGGTGGTGGCACAGACTGATGCGAAGTCGCTGGCGGAGCAGGCGAATGGCAGATGGGATAGAAAACTTTGGATAGTACTTACCTCAAGCTTAAGCACAAACCGCCCACTTTGGCGCGTTGCCCGATTCGGCGGATCCATGGATCGCTCTACTTAAGTAATACCACTACCCTTCAGAGCCCATCTGTTTACTGGTGCATCTCGTCCAGACAGCCACCCGCTGCAGACGGGCCGCTTGTTTCTGCCACAGCCATGTGCGAAGCAGAGTCTGCGGTCGTTGCGTCTCTGCATCACTGCATTCATGGATAAACTTACTTGGGTTCGTGCTGGGAAGCGATGTGGAGAGAGAGAGGGAGAGAGAGCCAAGCGCTTGTCACGTGTGTGCATGGAGCAACCTCAGAGGCCATTCGGCCATAAAACGGGACTGGGCCAGACAGGGCAAATGGGCATATAATCAGTTTCAGGGTCTGCACATGGGCTTATGCTGCTTGCGCGAGTCTCCAAAAGCTCGCCTCGCCTCGTTGAACCCTCTGTGACATCCTCGCCCCTACCGGCGTTTGCAAGGGCGCTCTCGGGGGTCCGCTGCCGAGCCCATCAGTACCCAAGCTGCCTCCCCCATACCAGCACACCCACGTCGACAAACAACCCCCAACAACGCGCCCAATACCCACAGTCATGGATCTGAGCAGCTTGAAAGACCAAGTGAGCAATCTCACGCTCTACGACCTCAAGGCCGGATTCCGCAAAGCCCAAAATGGTATGCCCATCAGAGAGAAGCCAGCTGGCCATCGCTGACATGCTGCTTAGCCGTCATGAACTACACTGAGATGGAGGCCAAGGTGCGCGAGGCTACAAACAACGAACCATGGGGTAAGCAGCCTGTGCGCATCCTATGAGCGGTTGCTAATGGCCAGCAAGGCGCCTCGTCGACTGCATTACAAGAGATTGCCAATGCGACGTTCAACTAGTACGTCTTGCTCATCAGAGGCCCGAAGAGTGTTGCTGACAGCGCAGCCAACTACTCAATGAGATCATGCCCATGATCTACAAGCGTTTCACGGAAAAGGCTTCGGAAGAGTGGCGACAGATCTACAAGGTACTTCCGACGCTCAATGGCACCACGCAAGCTGACAGTCTAGGCTTTGCAACTTCTCGAATACCTGATCAAACACGGCTCGGAGCGAGTAATTGATGATGCCCGTTCTCATGTGTCACTGCTCAAGATGCTGCGACAGTTCCACTACATCGACCAGAACGGCAAAGATCAGGGCATTAATGTACGGAACCGCGCCAAAGAACTGGCCGAGCTCCTCAGCGATGTCGACCGTATCCGAACCGAGCGCAAGAAGGCCCGCGCGAACCGGAACAAGTTTGGCGGCGTCGAAGGTGGAGCGGGCATGGGCGGCTTCTCGGGAAGTGGAGGCTTCTCTGGGGGCAGTGGAGGCAGCAGATATGGTGGTTTTGGTAGCGAGTCGGCAGACTATGGTGGTTACAGAGGAGAGGTCTATGGAGATGGTGGTGGCTTCGGGGGCAATCAGTCAGGCTTCGCGGACACACAACAGCGACGGGAGCGATTCGACGAGTACGATGAGTACGACGAAGGTGAGAGCGCAAGCCCTGCGCCTGCACGAAGAAAAGAACCCGCAGCAAGCCGAAAAGAGGTCAAGAAGGAGGAGCCAAAGGCGAAGGCGCCAGAGCCAGTGGTCGATCTGCTGGCTTGGGATGATGAGCCTGCGCCAGCCTCAACCTCCGCTGGCAAGAAGCCTGTTACCGCTGCAAATGACGACTTTGGAGACGACGATGATTTCGACGACTTCCAGTCTGCAGCACCCGCGGTACCCGCAGCCAAGCCAGCTGCTGCGGCTTTCAACATGGCCCCTCCAGCGTCTACGTCCACCATCACTTCCTCGACCCAATTCGCCGCACCACAAGCTCAGTCTGCTTCACAGAACAACAACTTGAGCAACTTGTTTGCTACGGTCTCGCCACCACCTGCTGTAAACAAAATGAGCAGTCCACCATCTGTGGTTTCGCCCATCTCCCAGCCGCCCCAGCCATCCGGATACCAAGCAACAGGTCCAAACTACTTCACATCTGTACCTCAGCCCGCCCCTCAGTCAGGAGCCTCGACACCTTCTGCCATGTCCTCGGGCAGCCGCATTGGAGGTGGAGCTGCTCCCAAGAAAGCTGGAGGCGACGCCTTCGCCTCGTTGCTTGGTGGGGTTGCACCTAAGAAGGCTTCTACGCCCACGCAAAAGGTCACTATGGGTGATTTGGCCAAACAGAAGACGTCCCAAGGGCTATGGGGAGCTCCTGCATCTTCTGCTTCTAGCACGCCTGCTGCCCAAACACCACAGTCGGGCTCTAAGCCTAGCGGTGCCCTAGGTGACTTGTTGGGGTGAGCGATGCCATGGTATGTATGCATCATTCATGCACGACTGGCGTTGGGGGTACAAAATGGGGGCGCACTGCAACAGGGTAGTAAAGTTGATACTGTAGACCATTGAAATGCACAACGATCCGATTTTCCATGGCAATTGGCTTGCAAGCCCATGATGAATGAAGTCTTGAGTGTGTACCGCACAGAGCCTACGTTGCGTGCCATGTTGGTTCCCCGCAAATGCGGCGACTCTATTGGCTGCAGCAATGCCGTACCCCCCTGCGCACCTAGTAGTATTTCGAGCCTACCCTGCTGCAGCCAGGATCCATTCTGAGGCACAACATGGGAAACAACAGCCTCATCTCTTCTCGCTGTCCGAGCATGCTTCAATGCAGATCTCGAGATTTCTTGTTCGCATCGCATTGCTGCTGCTTCCTGTAGCTTTCATCGGCACAACGTGGTTGTACTTGTACCCAATCTTCCATGGCTGCGCGTTCCCTACTCCACCGTCCACACATCCGCAGCCCCTTGCGCCCTTTCGGCTCCTGTCACTCGGTGACCCGCAACTCGAAGGCGACTCGTCGCTGCCTGACCCCAACGCCCTCGTATTTCCATCTATCGAGTTCCTTGTGACTGATCTGCGTGACGCGGAAGATTTTGCGGAGCGGATCGATATTGCAAAAGAAGCCGCAAGGGGGGCTGTAAAAAACGCGCGGACATGGCTAGAGGGAAAGAGAAAGGAAGTTGATCTTTGGGGAAACGATCGCTATCTGGCGCATATTGTTAGGAGCTTGCGGTGGTGGACTCAACCGACACACATCAGTGTGCTGGGAGACTTGCTTGGGAGCCAATGGGTTACTGATGGCGAGTTCAGTAAACGTGCGGGAAGATACTGGAATACCGTCATGAAGGGACTGGAGAAAGTGCCAGATGCCATCTTTGGTGTTGAGCCTGAGTCGCCCAAGGAGGAGACAACGGAGCCAGCTGTAGAGCAGAATGCGGAACAAGCAGAAGAAGGCATAGGCGGAGATTCCGAGACAGCAGAGCCGACTATGCAGCAAACTGTGCAACAAGAAGACAAAGGCGGAGATGAAGAGGCAGAAGCAGTACCCGATAAGGAAGCGAAACCGGAGCGAAAAGCATATTGGGGTGGCACAAAAGAAGTGCTTGGCGCAGACACAGATTGGGAGAAGCGCGTAATCAACATCGCAGGAAACCATGATGTTGGATATGCAGGAGATATCGATCAGTCACGCATTGACCGGTTCGAGCGAGCCTTTGGTAGCGTCAACTGGGACATATGGTTTACACTACCCGATGCACTGCGCTCCAACGAGACGGCCGATGTATCGAGACGACACCCCGACAGACCACCAACCCTCCGCCTTGTCGTCCTGAATTCCATGAACCTGGACACGCCTGCTTGGTCCCCAGATCTACAGACTGAAACGTACGACTTCTTGAATTATATCATCTCCAATTCACTTCCCGTCAATGACAAAACCCATGCGACCATCCTTCTCACGCACATTCCTCTGGAAAAGGAAGATGGCATATGCGTCGATAGTCCATACTTTGATTTTTTCGAAAGCGGACACGGACTGAAAGAGCAGAATATGCTTTCAGATCATTCTAGCAGAACAGTCTTGGAAAGTCTCTTTGGCATGAGCTGGAGGAGGTATGTCGCTGGTTTAGGAATGGGTAGAAGGGGCGTTATTGTCAATGGACATGATCACGCTGGTTGTGATGTCGTACATTACATCAGGCAACGCGGCGTCGAGGATACGTGTCAATCGGAAGCGATCATGGAGGAAGATGCATACTGGCTGACCAGGCCTGCTAACGAAACCATGATCGCCACACCAACGGAAATTGATGGCTCGGATCTCAATATAGTCGCTGCTAACGACACTATCGAGCAACACGCGGTGCATGATATAGACGCTGCGTCTGAAACTCCCACGGAGTCTTCTGAATCTACAGAAACGTCTACACCAGAGACTCCAACGCCGACATGGCGCGCCCGCCGCTTTCCGCACCGCCGTTACGAAATCACGCCCGATAATGAATGCACTGATATCAACGCCTCCCCTCACATCCGCGAGATCACACTGCGTAGTATGATGGGCGAGTACTCTGGTTACGCGGGTTTCCTATCTGCCTGGTTTGACGAACAAAAGGGTGAGAGGGGTGAATGGGTGTTTGAGTTTAGTACGTGCGGGCTTGGTGTACAACACTGGTGGTGGGGGATTCATATTGTGGATTTGGTGCTGGTCATTACTCTGCTTGGTGCTGTTGTTGCCCGAGTGGTGGAGCAGTTGGCAGTTGTGCAGAGTAGTGAAGAGAGAAAGAAGTCTGTGGGGCTGAATAAAAGTGACGTGAAATCCAATGACAAGGAGACTACTGTGTATAGTAGTAGTACAAGCGGTAGAACGGCTTCAGTTAGTGGAGTTACGAAGCGACGGATATAAAGTCGTTGGTTGCATCTGTTGATACTATCGGAATACGCCAGAGCATGCTTCGAACTATTTGTAAAGTGTGACTGAAGTGCTGAGAAGAGACCATTTTTAGAGAGTAGGTGAATTGCAACAGAGTATTGGTGAGTTGAATGATAAGGCTGGTGCTCAGGTCTCAGTGATGCAAAAAGTCGTGAGGGAGGTGATAGGGTAGAAAGGCGGTCCAGGCAATACAATCATGATTACACTGAGAAGAAGAGTACCTTTGTTGACCCCCAGTTTGTTGAAACAGGTATTCAAAGGCGCGACATCATTGCTCTACTTGCTGTGTGCTCCCCATCTCTTGCGTCCTCTCTAATCAACTCTGCAGCCCCCTCTCCAATCCCATATGCCACCATCTGCGTATGTCCATTATTTACCTTCGGTATTGACGAAACATCTGCAACACGCAGGTTACGAACGCCACGTACGCGGAGCCGAGAATCAAGAACCGCATTCGCATCATCTGATTTACCCATCGCGCAAGTGCCTGAAGCATGGTAACCTAGGCATAACTCGATTAGCTCCGGCCACTAAACAAACAAACATGCAACATGACTTACAGGTCGTAGCATGCTCCCGAACATACCCCTCCCACTCCTCTCTCTTCTTGTACTCGTGATGCCTCGACCCTGGCGGCCAACTCCCCTTAACCACACTCTTCGTCGCACCCCCCTCCATCACAATCTCATTCGCAAACCGACACGCCTCACTCATAACAAGCATATCAAGCGGATGCTCCAGGTACCTGTGATCCACCACCGGATTCTCCTGTGCATCTTTCGACCTGAGCTTCACACTGCCCCTGCTATGCTGGTTAAATAGCAACGCGCACATGGCAAAAGCGTGCTTGTTGTCTACAGGAAAGTCAGTGTATTGCTTAGGGTCCCCGTACATTTCCGTGTTCCAGAACTCGACGTTGGGTTGTGTGGGTAGCAAGCCCATGGGGTCGCGGCCCGGTAGGCGGGGGGCGCTGGTCCAGAGGGGTGAGGAGGCGAGGCGCGAGTCAAGGCGGGCCCAGCTGAAGATGCCAAAGGGGAAGGTGGAGAGGACGCCGGTTTTCTTGTCTTTCCAAAGTTGGTAGGTGGCTTCTATGGCGTTGCCATGGTGGGCGAGGTGGTCGTTTGTTAGGTTTGGGGGGGAGACTTCATAGAAGATGAAGCAGAGCTGAGGGTTTGTGGGTTAGTAGATTTATACTTTACATAGTGATGGGAACATACGACGTGGTCCATGAGGTTCTTGCCGACACCGGGAAGATTGACGAGGCAGTCAATCTTGTGTTCTTCTAATTGGTCTTTTGGTCCGATTCCTGAACGCATAAGGATTGTTGGACTGCAGTATGCACCTGCTGCGATTATGACTTCTTTTTTCGCTCGGTACTCGATCTTTTGGCCAGTTTTTGAAATAGTGGAAACGCCCGTTGCAGTAAGCTCGTCCCTGTCTTGACTCAGAGTAACCTTATCAACAGTCACCTCGGTTTTGATCGTGATGTTGTCTCGTTTTCGATCTTTGGTGATAAAATCGGCGGCCATGGTTCGAATGCCCTGATGCACCGTTCGCGGAACATCACCACATCCATGTGCTGTTTCTCCAGTGGAAAACATGTCGGGACGATATGGAAGTCCTTTTTCTATCAGGCTTTCCCGCACGAGTTCTGAAATGGGTGCTAGGTCGTGTGGCTCGGTGTGAAGGGGACCCGATGTTCCATGGACTGAAAGATCAGCTTTGTGCCAATCCTTCCCATGGAATGTTTCCGCCTAGTTGGAGGTCAGTTCATATCAGCCCTCGAGGTTGAATAGCATTCTCGCACCTTCTTCATATACTGGAACATCTTATCACCAGTCCACTCGTCCAAACCCCAGTCGTCATAATCTTGTTTCGTCCCGCGGATACACAAAGTACCATTGACGCCACTCGAACCGCCAAGAAAACGACCTCTGCTAACTTTGACTTGACGATTGTCGATCTTTTCCATGGGTTCCGTAACAATGTTCCAATCCGTCTCGCTGTCGAAGTTGTTGCTCCATCTGCATGCCGACTCAGCAAAACTTACCAGAAAGCAAGAGTTCAACTTACCCTCCTGCCATGTGAACATTTTCTAGATCTGCACTGTCCGGTCCTGCTTCCAATACCAGGACATTTACGTTGGGGTCTTCGGCAAGCCGGCCTGCTATCACGCAGCCAGACGTACCACCACTGACGATTGTAAGCTGATGTTTCCATTGCGGACTTTCCTATCTTGCGTATGTATCTCTATATGAAAATATAAAAGCCCCTTACCCACAGACTATGTAGTCGTAGACTTGTGTGGTATCAACCGAGTTGATTCGTTGAACAGACATGATGGCGGTAATGCCACCTCCAACGCAAGAGAAGATGAAAGACCGTTCACAAGCCAACCTTAGCTTTGTATCTATTTAATGACTGAGTTTTATACTCTGTTCAGTTTACAGCCCCATATGCCGCGGAAAGATGCCGCAGACCATTTGCACGTGATTATGCACGCCACAAGGACGATCTGCCGGCTATCCGTCCATGAACGGAAACTATAACAAGACTCAGCCAATGCCATCTACGGCGACTCAACTTTGTTGGAACGTTGACCGTGCATGTAAGTATGGACGTCAATACCTCTATGTCCACTACAGAGTGTCGGCGGGATCTGGCCATAAGCACGGCAGGACTATTATAGTAAATTTCCTGTCTTGTTCACACGTTTCGAGGGCTGGAACGATCTGCTGTCGGATGGAATATGTTATGGCGAATGGCAGGTATGCTTGCGATGTGTCCACGGTCTAGTCTTACTTCCTGGTGTGGGGTATGATGCGGGGTAGCGCAATTGAGCCCAGAGTACCAAGCTGTGAGTGCGGAATTCGTCCCCAAAGGATCCTATGTTTGGGGATCTGGAAAACTTCTTGCACAACATGTGTGATGTTATTTGAGTATTGCCTTGCGACTCGTTATTGTAGTCTCCTCAATTTTTTGCACATGATCCATTGTTGTTTCGGAAACCATACTCCCAAATACCCTATCGTTACGTTGGAATTCTCGAAAGCTGCCTCTCTGAAGATAGAATAAGCAACCAGAAGCAGCAAACCCAATTTCTAGCTGTGTATTCATCATCTCGTAAAGCGAGACACTCCCTCCTACAAGGCGAGCATAGCACAGACCCCTGTCCATACTACCCCGTTACCACCCCCTCACGCCATCGCACCGCTACCCCTTGCCCTCCGTCCCATACCTCTCTCCCAGCGACAAGGCACGAAGTGAAACTCCAGCCTAATCAGGACCTTTCAAAGCGCCAGCTAAGCCCAGACAAGCCTATTCTCCAAGCCTCAGCCCACGTTACAAGCACGAGCAACCGAGCGCATTTTCGAAACATAATGACCGGCAGCAACCCCGAAATTTCAAACCACACGTGCTGCAGCCTCGGCGCATCAAACACCAGCATCCACTTATTTGACCATTAATGCACCAATGCAAACATCGGGGCCTATACTGTTAGGCTCTTTCCGGGCAAGATGGAGCTACGCGGCGAGGCTTGGCTATGTGGATATGTGTTTAGAATGCGAAGCAGTCTAGAGCTCGACAATGAGGCAGGTGGATAGTCGTATACATAGATGTACTAGATTCCCCCACACTCTTTTCCTTTTCCCTTTTTCTTCTCTATACTGCCGTGCGGTACTGCTTTCTTATCTTTACATTTTGCTTCGTTTTGGCCGGTCCACCGTTTCATAATTAATTTTTTTGTTTCTTCATTCGACCTGCGGTTCGCATCAACACCACGCAGCCCAAAATGTACAAGCTCATCACCCTATCTCTACTCAGCCTCACATCTGCTTTGCCTCAGCGAAACCGAGGCGGCAATCGTGGCAACGGCCAGCAAGCGACGGCCTTTCAACGAGCTGCTCAGATCCCCCAGGGCATCTCCCAAGCTACCGATGGGTCTATGATCTTGGATGATACTGTAATGGTCAACAATCTTCCTATACGATTCAAGATCTCTGCGCCAGCAGATCAATTCCTTCCGGCCTCAGGCGTACCTGGCGCAGCAGCCACATCTTCAAACGGAACTTTGGGAGCAAACGTCCTGCTCCATGGCGATGGAGGACAAAGCTTCTTCGACATGCCAAACCAGGCGGTACAAGCCAACACTATGGGAGTCGCCCTTCTCGCGCCTGACGACAACCTTTTCTGGGGCGGAGGCGCTGGTCTGCAGCGAACAGATGGTGTAGCACACGCGCAGGCAGTCAACGACTTTATCCAAACCGAGCTACCCCAACGCGTCGCAGTCAACATGTCGAACATTGTATTCACAGGTGTCAGCGGTGGTAGTCTTATGATGAGCGGCTTCTTCATCCCAGCACAAATGCAAAACTACCCAAACAGTGCCGTTGAACTCAACTGCGGAGGCATGCCCCCGCAAGTCGATTTTCAAAATGCGGCCACCGTCATGAGCCAGACTAGAATTCATTACCAGTCTACACAGAGCGAGCTGCAGCTGCTCCAAGGCAGTATCCCACAGGCTGTAGCGGCGTATGAGCAGCTTGCATCCGACGCAGGTTTGTCGGCGGCTCAGATCAACCAGCTGCAAACTGTAGACAACACACCTGCTGGCGGACACTGTGAATTTGATGGACTGGACTTTGTTTCTGGTGTGCAAACAATGTCTTCGAGCTACGCGAGTGTAATGCAGGGTGGTAATGGGGCGGTCAAGGGAATTGGTGCACCTAGCACCGGCGTAGTAACAACGGGTGTAGTTGGAAACGAGAATTTGCAGTTTGTCGGTGGAAGGAAGCGCTCAGAAGAGGCCAAGAGTATGCTACAGATGAGGTGGGCGCAAGAGGTTGTTGAGGAGACTGCGTTCGAGATGTTGGCATGCGATCGGAGTTCGTGCTCGGGCGACAAGCCCCGATTCTAAGAGTCCTAAGATTCAGTACATATATTTCCGCGTCTGGCTGTGCGTCAGCATACAA